CAACGGATTTGTAATTGCTGAAAAGAATCAAGAAGTTATGATAGATCACTTGAAGCATCGACGCATTCATTCATGTAAAATTCATTTCTCATTTTGCTAACTTCATGACCGATATGTTCAGAACTTTGGGCAATCGTAAACAATGCTGGTATCTTTTCAACCTATGGTCCTGACGACTGGTGCTCAATGGACGTTTACAAGTTGTCACTTGAGGTCAACACATTGGGACACATCAGAGTCACGAAGGTCACTCACATTCTCAGTTGAATTGCAATCCGTTAGAACCGTAACCGTGTGAACAACTCAAATTTCAGGCGTTCAAGCCACTTCTGAAGCAGTCCAAAGGTCGCATCGTTACAGCGACAAGTATTGCTGGGCGTATTGCACTCCCATATGCGGCTCCTTATTCCGTCGCGAAATTCGCTTGTGAAGCTTACATGGACTGTGTCAGGTGCCCCTTTTTTTTCACTGCCCTCAAAAACAATGTTCACATTTTTTCGCGGTCGATTAACTGTTTGAGAGCTCGTCGAAGAATGCAAATTTTCAAGTTTCTTACAATTAGCAAATTGTCGAAAATGAGTTGTAATACAAATAGAAGTAGGCCTAATGGCTGTGTGTTGCGTACTCAAGCGGAAGTGAATCGTATATGGTTTCATTTTAGACAAGAAGTGCAACCGTGGGGAGTAACGGTGTCGATCGTTGAGCCGGGTGTCTTCAAAACGCCCATAGTGGATCGGTCGGGCATGAAAAACCGCATTGAAGGCGTTTGGTCGAAAATGACTGACGAACAGAAGGCGGAGTATGGCGAAGACTTCAAGAACTACTGTGCGTTACTTTTGCAAATTCGCAAATTTTCGATCAATACAAATAAGACTCATCATCATTAAAATCGTTAAAGCGGTCGATGTAATTTCATTGGAAAGAATCGTTTGGCTTGAAATGACAACTCAAAGTGGATATGCAAATTACTGTCCATTAGTAATAAGCAATTGATTCTCTCAAAGATAAATCATCAATAATGTGATGGTTTATCATTGAGAGAATCAGTTGATCGAGTTTGTTCGCAAAATGTTCACTTAATGATTGTTTGATGAATTTCACGATCGCATGGCATTCTGATCAGCGCTGGGTGATCTTACGGCAGTGAACATTGTTGTTTCAAATGGGATACAAGAATAGTGAATTAATGAGGTGTGTGTTATTGCAGTCGCAATTCACTGGAGCGATACGTTCTACAACCTTGGTTCTCCACATATCGAGTGGGTTATCGATGACTACTATCATGCAGTGACGGCGATGTTTCCGCGTAATCGTTATCGTGTTGGATGGGATGCGTATCTCATCTTCATTCCATGCACTTTCCTGCCAACTATGCTTGTGGATGCGATTAACGCTTATCTCTTGGCACCGACGAAAATGAAACCGGCCTCTTTGGAGAAGGCAAAACAGTCGTAGATACTACAGCAAATCATGTCGTCGTCATTCAAACAATATCCCCTTTTTAGGAACGACCCCTAAATATCCCTTCTGGGATTATTCACTGACCCCCTCATTTATCTCATCAAAAATTTCGATTTTCTTTATTTTCAATGAACTTGATGATTTTCCTATTGCTCTTCCCATAGCCATCGTTACAACTGATCATGTTTATGTCTGTCATGGATTTGATTCCTTTTGATACACATATATCTTGACATATCCTTTCTCATTGTCGTTTTTCTTTATTATTCATTCACTTAACTTCCTCGCTATTTGCTTGTGTATTCTTGGGATATTTCATTATCTCATAGCTACACT